TTCTATCAAAAGGAGGCTGCAAATGACTTTAAAAACTTTTGCCAAGTGAAAACTATGGACTCGTACTTATTCACAGAATTATTCTCTTGAAGGAACAGGCTAAAGCCTCTTCATTAATTCCACCTCTATAGTTTGAACAATAACGTAAGGGTGTGGGTGAATGTGATGTAGGTCTCGGTGTTCTTCTCTTGACTACCCACACCCACACCCAGCATATGACAGTTGATTTATTCACAACAGCGAAAAAAGCAAGTATATAGTATACGGAAAGCGTATAATGTTATAATTATTTATATCAATAATTGATCATCATTAACATGAGCACTTTTGACAACATGTGTAACTATGATTACGATGCGTTGTTTTGATGATTTTTGTTGATTACTACAAAAGAAAACATCTATGTACGATAATGTTTATAGCTTAATATGATTTACGATATACAAAAGTTCGGATCCACAAAGTCACGACTTTTTTAATCTTCAAGATCAGTTTTATCTATCATTTGTAAAATATTTTATGAACACGATAAAACCCAATGGAGTGCATTACTCATAATATGTTCAACAAAAAATTTGCTGAAAGAAGCATAAAATGAATGCAGTTTTTGTAATAACTAGTCGTTCATTATTTAACTGTAATGAACGTCTAAAACGACCGTTAGAATTGTATAATTTGTACTAGAATATGATGCAAATAAATCTCAAGATCGAATCTCGTCTGCTTTTCGAAGCAATAAAAAAGACACTCAACTAATGTAAGATTCTCCTGTAGTGAAAGATTGCTTAAATAACAATATAACGAAGTAGACGCGCTTTCGACAACTCTCTTTACCAGAGGAACAACTGTCGATTTTCTTTAAGAATACGAAAAAGACTTTTTCACATCTGACATATCAACAAACGCTAGAAAATGTGTAAGAAAAGAAAGACTGTTATGAATAATTAATAAAAATGCAACATCATATACGAATTATAGCCAATTTGAATAAGAGCAATAGTAATAAGAGAGAAAAATATGAGTTACTAGATGTGTTTTCGATCGAAATATTAACATATACGTTTGATGTATTCATAACGAATAATATATTAGTTCTGCGCTTCTCCTTTCACACAAACAAAACGAAATATTATATTTGAAACACATATATTCATATCGTTCCGTCACGACATCTACACAACATAGTTTTCATTCAATGCACAGAAAATATTACTATTTTCCTTCGATAATCACAGCAGAATAACCATTTAACGCAATATAAATCATCATATTAACTAATCAACTCATACTCTAGGCTTTATTGATTGGCTAATTATACGAGCAATGTGTAGTAGTAACAGTAGAGTTCTAGATTTACTTTTTGTGATTCATTGACTTGTTACGATAATAATCTACCCTTTTTTTTTAACAAGTTTTAATCCATCACAAAATGACAAGTAATGGTAACTCTACTGCAAGTAATGAAAATAGTATGACATTATCAATTCGATTGATTCGTTCTTTTGAACATCGAAATATTCGTCATCTAATCTTACGTTCTATCGATTCATCGGGACAAATGACTGGCAATGAACTCAAACAACGTATTCTAACAAGTTCGTAATCTTATTTCTCAGGTGAAATTTTCATTTTTTTTTCTTCGAAAGTGGTTTGCTCTGCATTTTCTATTTCCCTTTCAGTGTTACCTACCGAAAAGCTGCCACCACCATTTAAATCATTTGCATTTGGTAATTTAAAATAACATGAAAAAAAATTTTTCTATGATATAATTTTCTCTGTATTTAGATACATTGAAGATTGAACATTATCCACATCAAGCAAAAGTAATGATTTGAATTAGAGCTCTTTTTTTTAAACGGAACCATAATTTATATTAAGAACATTTTTTTCAATATATATTAAGTACTTTCTCATAGATGTTCTTTTTAATCAGCTTCACAATTCTTTGAGGTGGAAGTTTTTTTTTATCACTGTTGACACTTTTTATAATTCAAATGATGCATTCCAAAAAATTCTAATGTAATAAAATATGTGACTCAAATTTTTAGCTCTAATCGTATTCTTGAACTCTGAGAGTTTAATTAGAGTCAGAATAGTATTAATGAAATTTTCTATAATTGAAATATGGTCACTCTTTACCAGATTTCATTGCAAACTATCATTTATTGAGATTTAAAAAACAAATTATATCTTCTATTTTTTTTTAGAGTAATGATGTAGTGATTCGTCGTGATGGTGATGAACGATTAATTATTGAAGATGATAAACATTTATGCGATTACAATATCGTAGATGGTACTGACATTGCATTTTTTAAACGAAGTGACTATGAACTCTACAAACAAAATCCAGACTTAGTTATGGACTAATAACTATTTCTATTTCATGTGTTTTTTTTTGTTGAATAAAATTTGTTTAGTATACAGTAATTGCATCGTTCACTAATAAATGATTGTTTTTGAAGTTAACCCTGTATTTTCCTCACAGACTCATCAATTTTTTTCCGTCATATCTGATTATTTTGAACTCACAAGTGTACAAATTTTATTCGTAGTCTTGATGAAACAGTATCACTATAATACACATTTTCAACATAGAAACAAATCAATTTTTGCTCACCAAAATCAAATAATCTATTTTTAGTTATTGCACTTGGTTGATCATCAGTAACAAAGATATATTACAATTCATAATTGGCATAAGTAATTTTTTACATTTCCATCACTCGGCGCTTAATACATATAAAGTTTTCGCTGAGTTGAAGAATATTATGTCACCCAAAAAAAAGGAACAGTAATACTAAAGTTTTCAGCTGTATGAAATTATCTTCCTTGTACTTATATAAACGAGATCAAACATGAGTATATTCTGTACAATCAATGTAGGAAGTTATGAGTACACGCTTTTGTGGAGACGAACTTGAATCTGAGAAAATTCACAACGTACTAGTAACAGTTGCTTAATTCATATTGTTTCAAGTTAGATCCACTTTTTAATTATGCAAACAACCTACAACAGAACAAGTTCAAGTGAAGATAAGATCATTATTACAGACTGTATATGCACATATAAAAGTCAAACGAACAAATTGCCATATCTGAAAAATGAAGTATTTTTTCAATCAATACTTTATCCAATGGATTAAAACTTTCTCATTCTCGCATTCTGCATCTTTTGAATAAAAATATTATGAAAATAACTTGTTTATTATTTACACTTATTCGTTATATCTTTTATTTTTCTTTCTATCAAATATTTTCATATTGACATTAGTCTCTATCATCATCGTGAATTTAAGATTGGCTTATCCTCACAATGATCAAGAAAGTAACAGATCTAACTTGTATGTGTCGATCAATCTTATAACAAAAAAGTTTGTCGGCATCACCTAACTAAATCAACCGTATCAAAATACACAAGCACCAGTTTCCGACAGTCAATTGATAAGTTTGATACTTTTTTTTTCCCGTAGCTAAACGAACCAACTGTTGCTTTTTTTTTTTATCTATTGATTGAGTAGACAAAAGAAAATAATACAAAATATAGTTAGTACAAGTGAATATACAATCTATATGAACTTTAGATTTTTGAATAATTTTTTCATGTATTAATCAATTGATTATGATCACTAAAAACTTTTATTTACAAACTGCCAAATGTTATGTTGTTCTTTTTTTAACTTTTTGATGTTTGTCAATCGACACAGATGAGCTTAGATGTATTAATTAGTCTGTCTTTTTTTGATGTTCTTCTGTCGATTATTATTGGTAGTTTAATTTTGATTGGCGAAGAAAATTAAAAGAAAAAAGAATTTTTTTTTTTCTATCTTCTCTTCTGAATATTATTATGACTGATATTCATGTCTTCTCATTTCATTTCACATCATATCCATTTCATCATTCAAAATCAAAACAGGCTAAGTATTCTCTAATTCTTAAATTAACTTATTGAATATTTCTAGGAAACATGGATCCATACTATTCATCACCATCTTATTATTATCAATCATCATGTCCTCTTCATGATTCATATGTTGATCCTTATTCTTCATATCCAACACAATCAACTCCATCATATTATTATCCATCTTATATTGATCAATCATCATCATCACCACAAATTGTTCTTTATAATAATTCAACGACAAATATTTATGCTCAACCAACACCTCCCGTACAATCTGTACAATCAACACCAGTAATGCTTAATAAAACTTTTGAATTAGGTAATGATTAATTTAATATTATTGCGATTATTAATATTTCTTTAATATTAGCTCCACCAGTAGGTCGTCGACGTCGTCAACGTACTATATTTTCAAAAGATCAAGTTGATATACTCGATTTAGTATTTGAAAAAAATCAATATCCTGATATTCAACTTCGTGAACAACTTTCTCAACGATTAGATGTACCTGAAGCTCGTATTCAAGTATGTTGTTTTTTTCTAAGTGATTCATTTAAGAAAGTTTTTATTTTCTTTGTATAGGTTTGGTTCAAAAATCGTCGTAGTCGTGCTCGAACAACAAATAAAACAAAACATTAACATAAACGAAACCGTCGACATTTTGTTCACATATAATCGTTGTTTTTCTTTTAGTTAATAAATTCTCCTATAAATTAAACAAATTTTCGTACTACTTAGTGTTGAATAGAGTCGACTTCTTCGACTCAGATGAAATATGCAATATTGCATGTTCTATTGTTTTAAAAGAATCATGTAAATATCCTCTAGGTTCACACAGAGAGCTAGATGAAGCCTGTTAAAGTAGAACCACCGAAACTAGGACGAATAAATTTTGTTCGCGTACATCTCCTTAACTTACCGATGAGAACAGTTACTTTCGAAAGTCAGTCGTGGTCCTAATGGCATGAAGTGTTTCAATGAACGTGAAATAGAAGCAAAATATTAAAGAAATTTTATGAAAGATTTAGTGATTTATTCAGAAAAGCGCATTGGTTAAAAAAAAAGAATTGTTTCTCATATTAAATAATCTAATACTATTCAGTATCATTCATTTTAATTGATTTATTTTTCATCGATATAATTCGTCGTGTTCGATTATATTTTCCTTTTTCTAATTGTTTATATGCATTTTGTTCTGATTGTTGTTGCATAATTGATTGAAGATTTCTTGCTGCATCTATTCATAGAACAAATGTTACAAATAAAACGAACGAAAGAAATTTATTTTTACTATTTAATTCTAAATCAATAGAAGTATCATTCATTGAATAATAGTAACAAAGTTCACAATTTTTTGTTGAACATTGAAATTTATTAACTCCAGAAATTATATGATCCATAGCTTCATCATATTTTAATTGATTTGGAGTACATAAACGTCCTCTCCAAACAATATGACCTAAATATGTACAATGTGATGCGATATTTGTATATTGAATTTCAATTAATTTACCTGAAAAATCTAAGATAAAATATGAAGGTACACCATCAATTGATAATAATTCATGTAATGGTTTTTCATTTTTATTTTGTTCATCTATTAAATAAATAAATAAATAGTACATATGAAAGAATAAATATTCTTCTTACATCGAAAATCTTCTGATGAAAAATCAGTATAACATTGAATATTTGTTAAATTTTTAGTTAAAGTTATTAAATCATCAATATCATTTTGATTACAATTAATTGATATAAAATTATACTTTAAAATAATAAAATTTCAATTATTGAAATGAAATAAATAAATAAATAATTACTTGTCCATTATGAGATAAAGCATAATTAGAAAAATAATTAAGATGCATTTTTGATGGTATACATTCATTTATATAAAATAAAATTATACTTAATCGAGATGTTTGGATTGATAATGGTAATGAAATTATTTGATTTTTATTTAAATCATAAACTTGAATAGTAGTCATCATTTTGGGAGATTTTATAAGACCTTGATGTATTGGTCGTTGTACTTGTTTTTCATATGATAATGTTTCCATATATGAACAACTATTTCATTTAAAATAAAAAGATATATTCGAAAATATTATTTATAATTATGAAGAGTTCAGTTAGAATTCAATAGAACTGAATTTTAAAAGTATTGCATTTCTTCTTATATTACGATTTAGAATGAAGTAATTCATTGCCTAAATTTTCTGCATTGGTTTGACTAACTTAGAAACAAAGAATATAACAGTAATGAGTTTTCATATTTGTTTTTTAAATGTGATATTGAATTATATAAAAAAAAAAGATCCTTACAGAACATAATATTTCTATTTTCATAATCCGATTAATATATATCGGAAGTAACTGTATGCAAAAAAAACTGTGAGCTGTGATCCTGAACTTGGACCAGATCAGGTCTGTAACGGACTCAATAAGTCATATTATAAAAGTCATAGTCAATCATGTTTTGATTAATATAAGATGATCATCAAGATTGTCTGAGAAATATGGAAACTTTACGTAGAAACAGACCTTACGGAGAATAGTATTTTATGAAAGTTTCAGACTTTTTTGCTGTTGCTATCCGTAGATACAGATACGATAACTTCATTCGGATAAACCAGAAGATTTCATGCTCTCATTTCAGTATAGGAACAAATCAAAAGACCTGAAGTCTTCACAAAATACTATTCTCAGTAAGGTCTGTTTCTACGTAAAGTTTCAAGTGGAAATTCGAAACTGATTTTTTCTGGTGTTCTTGAGGGGGATCACAGCATTCATTTAAAAGCATACCGTAAAAGTGCAGTATCTTCCTACCAACAAGCTAGCAGCCAAAACGTTTTTTAGGGTATTCATAGCTCATTTGTATCTGCATAATGCGGATAGCCTCGACGCACAAGCGATTGATCAGTTGGGGATCCTCTTTCGTTAGCTAACCTTTTCTAGTCTCATTGACTCCTATTTCAGGGTAAAATATTACCAGAAAACTCTGAATCACTTGAAACTGTTCTTTCGTCCGATTATAAGATTACGTTGAACTTACGTATGATTTTCTTCAAAATTTACCTCACCCACCATCGAATTTCGCTTACAATTGTTCATATATCTCTTTTAACATTCTATGTAAATATAATCAAATATCTTTGTTTAAAACGATAAGAAATAAAAATTTATATGAGATGTATAACTAAATTTGAAAGTCATTTCAATTCATTTATACATATTTTCCTTTGTATTTCTTCGTCTATAGAAAATTAATAGAAATATCTCAATTTCTATCAAATGATTATTTTGTTTATACATATTACTAACATGTATTTTAAGATGTTTATTGTCCTAGATTGAGACAATGTTAATTACTTGAAAATTTATTTGTTAAACATACAATAACAAGTTTTATTATTTCATAGCAACTTATAGAATCCTTATAAATTCTACAATTTGATGTGAAACCTCAAAAAAAAAAAACTTTTTTTTTTCAAGTTTATGATTTTTTTATGTGAATAATAAACGAAAGTCTTGTTTTATAGAAAAAATAAATCTTAATATTATTTATCCAAGTACTTCTTCTAATGAAATTACCTTTTAATAGATCGTTGTTGATGAAAATGAGTACAAAAGAATGAAAATTGATTAGGTGTTTCAACTAAAACTGTTTTTGATTTTGTTCCAAATAAAGCTGGTGCTACTGAAACAGCTATTGCATAAGGTTTATCTCGTCGAGGTAACTAGATAAAAATCAAAAAAAAACATTCTAATATAATTTAAAATATAGAAATCAATTTTAATCTAACTTCTAATGGAAAATCTTTAATAAAATTAGGTATAGGTGCTGGATTTTCTCGACCATCAATAATTAAATAATAACTTTTTGGAATATTATCATATGATTTTGATTCAATAGATAATTTAAGATGAAGAGAATCTTCAGACAAATAAAAAAAAAAACAACATATCAATTTTAAATTTTAACAAATAAAATAACCTGTGAAATTATTTAAAGTTGAAAGTACTTGTTTAAGTTGATTTTCACATTTTTCAAACAAACGTTTTGATTTCATACTAAAACAACAATAACCAAAATGATAAATTAATCTTATAAAATTCTTATTCTTACTTATAACGAATATTAATTAAATGATAAGCCATATTAACTAATTGTTTTTGATTATTTTCATCACTATAATCACATGTTAATATTGGTATACTAGATTCTCTTCCACATTCAATTTTCTTAGGTTTTGTATGAAGTGATTTATTTGAATTAGTAAGGTGTATTTCCAGAACATAAAAATAAACACCTTTTATCATATCTCTTATCCATACTTGACGACATTCAGCAGAATTTGGTCCAATCTGATTTAATAAACGACCTTCAGAATCATACAAATGAAGCTATTTTACAAAACAAAACAAAAGACAAAGAATCAAGAAACAAATTTATTGTTGAATATTTAAGAGGAAATTAAATAAACCGTATAAGATTCAATATTTCCATCATTGATCGATGTTGAATCTCCCCAACAAATAATTAATTCATCATTACCATTTACAAAAGCATGAAGTTTTGGTATAGTTACTCCAGGCCACTTAAATTTAACTGAAGGTGATGAAATTACTTTCTTATCTTTTCGAGTCATCTTTTTATATAAAAAAAACAAAAACAGAATAATAATCAAAATTTCTACTATTTAATCTTGTCTTATACAAATCTTACTTCTAATCGAAAAATATATCTTTTTCCAAATTTACCATCATTAACAACATATGTATTTTCTGTTGATGGTAACATAACTTTAGCTTCATCATTTATTATTAATTTATATGATTCAATATCAGATAATTTAACATTATCAGATTTTTCCCATTCAAGTATAATGAAGTCTGGTGTTGATTTACTATAAAATTCGAACAAAATTTTCTATAAACAAAAAATTAAAATAAACTTTCTTTTAATTTACCTCACACGAAGTCTTGGTGCATCATTCATTTCAATCGTTTGTATTTGTACACATTCACTTGAAGTTAATATTCGATTTGATTCATCAACAGTACATACATGTATTTCATATAAATGTCCTGATTCAATTTTTTCTAAAACAGCGGTTCGTTTGTTACGTGATACACGTATAGCATAACTCTAATTAACAAAAAATATTCATTTGAAAATAAAAAATCACAATAATATTACTTGATTATTATTTAAACTTTTATAATGTATAACATATTGTCGAATTGTTTTATGTTTTGGTAAATCACTCCAATCAACAAATATATGTCCATTAGATAAAAGTTTTAAGAAAATTTTTGTTCGATGAATCTTCGTTTGTATATTTGAATTTATTGAATGAAACAACAGGACGTCTGACTGATGTTCTGACATGTCAGTGACTTCGTTATACGTGTGATGGTGATGTGTGGCAAATGTTTTTTTCTTTTTCCTTCTTGTGACTTTCTTTCTTTCTTTTTTTTTAAACAATGCACACCCACATAGAAACTTGTTTTTGTGGCTGGAAGAACATCAACTTTTATTCTAGTTTTTTTTTCTTTTTTTTTTTGTTTGAATTGAAAAAAAAAAGAAGTAAAATACATTAGCAACAAACCAAAGACAAACATTAACAATCAGTTGTAGAGATCGATTCGATTTTAAGGAAATTGTTGCTCATAGTTATTCTAAGTTTTGAACCAAAAAAACAAAAGAAATTTTTTGATATGATCATTAAAATAAATGAAATGAGAATATATATTTTTTTTTTCTATGAACTAAATAATACTCGATCCGATTGATAAATATTTATTTAAAAAAAAAAAAATTCAAATCAAATATAATTATTATATTACCGAAATTGAGTAGTTAATAAATAGTCAAAAACAACATCGATATTAGTTATTTTTTTCGAATTTTACCTTGTTATCAGATTTAGAACACTTCCTATTTGATTATTTTACTTGCTAAGCAAAAAATGCATTCGAAAAGACAAAGAATAATTTAGTATGTTTTTGAAGTTGTTTACAATGAAGATGAAAACCATGAGTTGTCGATAATCTGCATAGTTGAATTTTGTTCAAAACTATTTTCACTCAGTTTTCATGTCAATTGGACAAGATATTTGAGAAATTCAGCGTAAATTGCACAACAAGAAAAGAATTGAAGATCTTTCCGTTTTATTTTAATATTTATGTATCGAATTTTATAGAAGTTCTTGTTTTGCAATATTATGGGGTAAATTTTATTAAATGATGACCTTCTCAAGGAAGGTTTTCGATTGTGACTTACTAATCGAACTATTATTTTGCCTATAAGTGTTAGTCTTCATACGCTGTTTTTCTCCAAGCTATTGCAATTTTACTATATTTTTTATTTCTGACAAAGTATTTGTAAAAAGATCGACATGCAAAATGTTAACACGCAATTTTGTAAGATCATTCAGTGTTTTCAACAATCGATATCTTTAGAACAATACATCTTTTTTTTCAGTTGAAACTTCCATGGTATTCTAATGTTCATGAGACCTACTTGTGTATTTCAATCTTTTCACAAATATCTTATCTGAAATCAAAAATTCAGTAAACTTGTAATAACTTCGGAAGAATAGCCTACGGGGGACTAACACTTATAGGTGTCTAGTAGCCTTGTCAAGTCCTCTTTATAGGCAAAATATCAATTTGATTGACGAGTCACATTTGAAGACCTTCCTCTTGTTAGTTCATGAAAATTATCATTGAGACAATGTTACAAATTTGTAAGTAAGCTATATACTATAGTTTTCTAAGGCTTTATTCTTTTCTCTATGAGCAAAAGAATATTTTATTTTTGTATCTTTTAGCATGACAAAATAAGATTTCATCGGTAATAAAGTAAATAGAATAATTTCCGTATCTAGGGAAAAAAAATTATTTTGCTTTCCTCTGATGAATTATAAAAAAAAATGTAATTTTAAAAATTTTCTGGCACATTGATCTCTCATTTACAGTTATGCATATTAAAAAGTAATAAACTAATATTTTCTTTATGAGATGAAGTGTAATAATAGAATTCAAATAGGGTGTGTTTAATGCACCAAAAACACGAAGCTTTCCTACTAAAACAAAATTTTGTTTTTTTTTTTTTTTTTCTTGCAAAACTTTTATTTCGTGCACTGAATACCAAATATTCATATGATTAAGTTATAAAATTTAAAGATAAGTTTTATTGATCTTTTCACTTAATAAAAAAATGGATCGTTGTCTTGAAAAATTTGATGAGAAAACATCAGAATTTGATTTGATCTTTTTTTTGTTTGATAAAATGTCATGAAAAAAAAAAAGTATATCAATTGCATAAACTTTTTTCTCTATTTCACTCATAAAAAATAATTATTTTTTTTTATTCAAACCAAAATTTAAATCTAATCTGAACATAATACGGATAAATTTTATTTAATCATTTTTGCATTTTCACAATCATATAAAAAAAAATATTCTGAAATGAAATTTATTAAACTATTTAACTGAATATTATTGCTCTAAAAGTGTATATGAAGAATATCAAATTTTTTGCAAGCTAACTGTTTTTTTGTTAATAAAGTACACGCAATACTAAATTTTTTTTAATACAGTATTTGCGAAAAATTAGATCAAAAACATCATAAAAACTGAAATATGTGGAAAGCATCAAGTCCGAATTTGAGTAATATACTCAAAACTAATTTTCATCAAATTTTAGTTTGTACACCCTTTCAGATCTACTTTTGAATATTCTAACATATGCTTCGCTTAAAGACGAAAATTAGTTCTATTCGATGTAGATTTTTTGTGCTGATTCTGAATATGAAATTCATTTCTTTTGGAATTCAAGTTTTAGAATAAAAAACTCTTATTTATAATGTTTAACTATCATATTAAAATAAATCGTTTTTCTTAATAATCAAACAATATTTTTTTTTTAAATTATACATTATTGTTTTTCAAAACCATATGATGAGTAATATCAAAAAAATAAATTTGAATAAATATTGAGACTTAATGCTTTCTGCGTATTTCAGCAGTTTATGTATATATGAAAAACAATTTTCTTAATTTTCACTAGAAAAATACCACAAAAAAAAAAAAGTTTTACTCCAATTTCAAAATATCGGCATCTCTCACTAAAAAAAAAAGAGAATTACCGATCACATTATTTTCTTTTATGAATGTGCTCTTTAGTTGATTCAAGATAAAGTGTAAGCATGACACACCTGAATCATAAATATTGACATATTATTCATAGTTAAATTATAATGGAAAAAAAGAATAAAAACATGAAAACTGTTTTCGTATTTTGTGGTTGATAAAATGACACAATCAAATAAAAATAATCTGTTATTTTGAGGTAAATACAAAAGAAAATTCAAAAAAATAGAATACTCCATAATACAACGACCTTGAATCTTTGACTATGCCGCCATGTTAAAACAGAAAGAAAAAAGCAAAATCTAAGATCAATAAACAGTAATCATATTTTTGTTAAACTAACACTTATCGATAAATATTTTTCAAATACATATCTTCATTATTTTTGTCTTATTTTTACAAAAACAAAAAAACATAATTTTTCTTCCTGTTAGTATTTTTTATAAAAAATAACTCGACGGTATATATTTCCGTCTTTAACATAATATAGATATATATATTTTTTTCTTTCTTTTTCTTTTTCTTCTTTGTCATCTATTATTTCAAAAAAAAAAGAAAAAGAAGAAGAACAACTAAAGCATAAACGACACGTCTGACGACAACAGTACTAGTAACAAACATAGGAAACGATAAACGCAAGCAACAAATAATCAACAGTCAATATCATAATGATAAAAAAAATAATAGCACTATACATAGATTCATACAATTTGTAATATATAAAAAAACAAAAAGCTAAAGGTAAGAAAAGATTATAAATTATTTTCTATGAAATCTAAACGAAAATATAAATAATATTTTCTATTTCATTAGTATATTTTCGTAGCCTTGTATGATATAGCAAGTGTTTGACTGCGTCACCTGCAGACTTAATCAGTTATTTTCTTTTTTTTTTGTGCTATTTATTCAGCCTTGAGGCTTTTGGAACTTCACATCTTCCATTTTTCTTCTCTTTCGAAGTGTCATTGAGAAAAACAAAAATGAATATCATTATTATTAGCATATTGGACAATGTGTATTGACTACAATTTTGGGAAATGCTATTTTTGTTTTGCTTTTCTAAATTATAATTTTACTAATATCTTATATATTGTTTTTAAATTTATGAATAGACATAGAGGAGAGAAAAAAAAAATGCAAAAATTTACTTTAATGATATTAGAAAGCATAGAACATTCTAACTAATTATTTATTCTTTACTATGGAAATAGTTTTATGCTAGAAAAAAAAAACCAATTATTGAATTTTTTCTATAATAAAATTTATCTCTTTTTCAATCAATAAAAATTCATTTTGTTTTTGAAACTCATGATTTCTTTCATACAATTCCTAAATATAACGTTTATTTGTGTTCTCTTCTTCGCACATAAATTTATTAAACGAATATATATTAGAAAGTCATATAGCGTACATGTTATTGATGATTTAATATGTTTGTTGACACAATCTGTGATAGAAGAGAGAAATCATAAAAAAAAAAAAAAAGACGAATATTTGTTATTATCACTTGAATAAATATACAACTATTTCATAGCATCTGTATTTAGCATAAATAAAAAACAAAAAAAGAAACAATAATGATTGTAAATAGCCGTAAATCATTCGAAGATAACACTATAAATATAAACTCAATAATAAAATAATTAGATCAAAAAAAAAGAAAGGACACATAGTACAATAGAAAACATTTCAGATTATGAAATTAGACATAAATCATATATGTCTAAAAGCTTAAAACTCGAAAATTCAACTTGCAAGTTTTACATTAATACACAGCTATTAGCATAAATGTAATTTGACCTTTTATTTTAGTTTATCAATCCTTATTAATGTTCAAGATATTGGTTTGTCAACAATACGAATTGACTTAGTATGTCAGCGTTTGTCTTTATCTAAAATCTACATAATAAAATCTTACTATTTCAAATATTTTGTAATCATAATAAAAAAACAAAAACATTGTTTTTTTCTTCTTAGATGTACAATTAACTATTTTATAAAAATTTTCAATGACAGAAAGTTATTTAACAACAGATATTATTGTTATTATTGTCCTAGTAGTTGTATTAGGTTTGTATTTATTTATTGCAATATTTTTGTAAAAAAAAATTCCGTTGTTTTTGTAGTTCTAGTCGGTGTCGGTGCATTTTTTATTCATTTTTATTGGACAAAAATTGGTGTATCTGAAATTTGGAATACAGCTAAATGGAGTTCAATGCGTAGTTCAATGTATCAAACAATACGTCGATTTAGTCGAGGAAATACTAGTAAATTTACTTCTGAACGTCCTTATTCTGGTACATCCATATATACAAATGATATTGATGATGACTTACAACCACCACCACCACCACCACCATCAGACACAATACAAGAGAAAAAATTGAATCCTAATATTACTACATATATCCCATCTCCAAATAATTATTCTTCAAATAGAAAGTTAGAAAAGTTACCTTCAACAATTGCATATAAAACTCCTATATCTCAAAATTATGGAACAAAAATTGGTCAACCAATTGAAAATACAATTATTTATAATATTCATGAACATAATAATCCATACAATGAACCATCTCCTTATATAGAAAAACACCGTTTCTGAAACAATGATAAGTTCTCTACATTTATTCTTCAATTCTACTTATATTTTTTTCTTTTACGAGACATAAGCACAATCCGATAATCAACAATTCAAGAAATTCTATAGAGATATGTATGAGTCATTGCAGGCAAAACGTACACATTCTTATCTTTCATTTGACTTTGATTCTTTATCAGAGTTATAAGTTCTTTTAGCATAGACATGAGTATAAATATTGACGTTCTCCAGCTGACTATAATCACAGGAGAAAAAAATTGAACAACTTCAGAATAGATTCTATGACTTGAACCGTACCTATGATGAAGTTTTCAGCGATATTGGATTCAAAAACTTTCCTCATAAAAAACAGGCTTTCTAGAGATCCTGAAGAAAGATGTGTATAGTTTAAAGTTTTTATTTAGTTTTCAAAAATGCTGCCTAAATTCAAAGATCCCTTTGAATAAACGTCCTCAGAGTATCTAGAGTAACTTAACATATATGTGAGGCATCAGAGATGTCCATCGCGGCTCAAAATCTGCCGCGGCCAAAATCAAACAAAGCTGCCGCGTCGCTCCCGCGACGCGATGGCCTGTTAAAAAAAAGCTACCGCGCCGCTGCCGCGCTGGTATTCGAAAAAATGTATTGACTTTCAAGGCTTTGACTGGTTTGAAATAGAACTGATGCCGCTAATCGATCAGATTCGCTAAGTCTTACAGTATAGCATACATAAACATGCAGATTCTGTGCAAATTCATGAATTTTTGAAATTTTTTCCTAAAAAGCTGCCGCGACGGCAAAATAAAAATCTCTCCCACGTCGCTGCCGCGCCGCGATAGTTTTTGGAAAAAATCTGCCGCTGCCGCTGCCGCGGTGGCGGCGCGGCAGCGGCACGATGGACATCTCTGTGAGACATAGATATTAGCTCTAGAAAAGTTTATTATTTCAAGATACAAATGTTTTAATTTTTTAATGTTGCTAACGAATGACTTTGTTCATATATATATAAATCTGTTGAATTTCTTGAATCGTCATTTTCTAAATTGTTGGAATTAGTATTTTTTTGTGAACATACAATTAGTCTTTCGGTGATATTTATTGTGACTTGTAAATGTACTTCTGTAACAAAAGCATGTGTATAACAGCTCAAATAATGCATGTGAATAAAAAGATGTTCTACTTTTGGTAAATTGTGAGTTTAACAAATAGATGTTTTATTTATTTATAAGAATAAAAATAAGAATTAAATCTGACAAGAATGATTAAGAAAATATTTATTGATATCTATCGATTGATTTTTCATATCCTAAACCTTGTCGATGATTATGGATATTAACTTCAATAGGTATTTTTATTCCATTTTGATTTATACCAAGACCATTACCAGGCATCCAACCGATTTTTTCTAATAATTGATGACCAAGATTACTTGAATTAATTGGTGTAATAATATCGTCTATGATATATGTGTGAAAAAAAAACAAGAATCTTTAAAAATTCGACAATAACTTACTAGTTTTTAATAACTGAGCATTTCGTTCTGAATGAAAATCAATATGAGCATTCTAAAATGCAATAAAATAATCATTCTAGTATTATTTCTATTGATCATTAAGTTCAATTTTCACTTTTAAAATATGAATATGGTATATCTAGATATCAGTAAATTTTAGGGAAAAAATTCAAAATAGTGTCTCTACAAAGCAAAAGATCGATTTTGGTATAGCCTTTAGTTTGTACCTTGAAACATCTTCAACTCAACATTATTATTGAACACTGAATCCTGTTCAAAATCAGATATTGCAATAAGCGAATTTTTCATTTATGTAATATTCACTAAAGAGTTCGTTTCTATGGAAATCCGCATGAGTCAAAAAAAAATCGTTGTTCCATAAAATACACAAATTTTAAAATCTTTCATGCATTTGTAAATAGCATGCTTTCTAGAGCAAATATTTCTCTACAAAACTGTTGCACTTTTTGAATTCTCATGTAAATAAAGTTATGTTCAGAGTACAAATTAGCATATTCAGACAGAACTATTCTACATGCAAAAGTCTTATACGACTTGCCTAAATACGATAACGTGAAAATCGAGTCAAATGAACTCTTTGGTTTAATCTAATATGGAAAAAGTTCAATCGAATATGCCGATTTGTTGCATGAACACTTTGGAATATAACCTTATTATGAAACACAATCTACAGGAAGTGTTGAACTAAATAGAGTGAAAATTTACATTCACTCACCCGTCTCTAAGGACCGTGATAAATATCTTAGTAATATTCTCCTTAAGGGTATCAATACGAACTATATGATGTTTTCCGTTTTAATTCTACAGGGAAGTATTTCCATTGAAGTACAAAATTAACCAAAATAGTATTTTGTACAGGTACTATTTAGAATATTTTGATAAGAATTCGATAATAGGTGTTCAATTTTATCTGAGAAAGAAATTCTAAGCATATACTTGAAAAGAATGAAGAATTCTATATCTATTTAACATTTTCAGGCTCGAACTATTTTTTTTCAAGTAACCGAAGACTAAATGCAGACTTTCGTATTGTGAATGATATTTTTCTAATTAATTCATTTTAAAAATTTTTATACTTTTGATTGAATATGTCGTCGATTTCTTTTAAGTTTTTTTCGATCAATAAATGTTTTAATTTGTTTTTGTATTTTTGATTTTGAATTAGTTAACATTAAATTAAGTGCACCATCAACAATTTTTTGTAAATTTTCATCTGATGTTTTTAATATATCATCATCATGTTCATTATTATTTTTAAAAATTTCTTGTTGATTATCTTCCCACCATGATATAACATTTGGTATATTACTTTTATTTTCAAATAAATCTAATTGTTTATCATTATTTTCATTTAAATTAGTATTTATTTTATGTTTATTAATAGAAACAGTTGTTTTTCTATTAAGATCTATAATTCGAGATTTCTTTTTAATTCGATATCGATGATGTAAAATTTTTTTTTCAATCTGTGAAACTGAATTACAGTCAAATGTTGAGGATAATGATAAAGATTGTATTTCTAATTTATTTAATAAATTATTACAATTACTATCATTATTAATATTCAAACAATGTTTAGTTTCTTCAATAATTTCTAATATGTCATTATTTGAAATATGTTTTCGTTTTAATAATCTAGCAGATAATGATGACATCGTTTTGAACTTGAATTATAATAAGATAAAATGAATTCGTGTATTATTCAAAATACACTATTCAAATCAATAGATAAGTGATCAATAAATTTTTGAAAAAAAAAAATTATCTAAAAAATGAATAAAATTTCTAATAATTCATTTTAATAGGAAAACCATTCATATCAAATCCTGAAAATAAGATATATTCATCAATAATTACTATATAAAAATAAAATGAAGAACTTCTTCAAAATATACCTAATCCATATTCATTAATTTTTTCACTTTCTTCACGAATTATACGATATTCATTTTCCAATTCTTCATCATACATTTGATTATTAAAATCAATTTCTTTTTGTGATGGTCCTTCATCTATATCAGTCGATGATAATTCATCTAAGAAATATTAGTGAGTAAAAAAAAACAAAACAAAACAAGACTTAATATATATATATATTGACAAAAATTCCTTTACAAAAAGGTTCTATTGATTCCATTTGAACTATTTTAAGCCATGCA